CCCAGGGCCTTAAAATATTTCTTCATAATTTCTAGGTTTAACATGGAGAATTTTCTGGTCTTCAGTGTTCAAAGCTTTGAAATGCAACAGTGTAATGCTCTGATGTATATCCTACCTTGCAGAAAGTGGCAGGAGAAGCGTGCAAAACTGATTGTGACAACATTTACACATGCAATTCAGTAGAAAAACTATTTTGGTTTTCTTCTCTCGTTCTTTCATGTGTACTACTATGTACTACTACTTTCATTGGTTATCACAAATTTACCTGCTGCTTTACTAACATCAGTTCTGTAAATCAGATTGAACAAAACTGTCCTGGTGGTACGCATATGTATTCACAGGTGTTTTTCCTTGAATCTGTGTATCTATACAAATCTATATCCACCACAAGGCTAAACATTTTTCATTGCTTATGAAAGTTAAGCTTGCAACTCAGTAGAAAATATTTGATGATATACCAGTCTTGTTGGTTTACATCAGGCATTTGGATAGCTGGTGTCTTTATAGTTCTTGAAGAACATAGTGAGTTGTTTCCTCTGGATATTTTTATGAATTTGCTGATGGTTGGTTGCCTTGTCAGAGAACTGATTAGGTCAGCATGTTGAAATTACTAGTAAATGTATCCTGTTACTAATTTCACCATTTCATCAAACGAGTCTATCTTTAAAATTAATCTTTTTTCAGTGTCTTATTTGCCGTCATGAAATTAGAACTTACTGTTATTAGGGGTACTTTGTAACTATCTCAAAAGTTGAAAGAATGCTTTTCATTTTCCTGACGGTGTTTTTTTTTTTTTTTTTCGTTATAGCCACACACAAAGAACTTAAATGCCATGGAAATCTGTAATCCAGAGACACTCTCATATAGGAGCCAGAATTATAAAATATTTCTGTCATTGTACTTCTGATTCATATTAGCCTGTGTGTATACATTGAGAGTTCTGTTTTAAAACATCCAGGTTGCAGCTGTTTCCATTGTTCACATAGGAATAAATCCATTAGCTTCCTACATACGTATGCCTTCTGTTCAAGTTCTAAAACACAGTGATAAACAGTACAGTTCCCAGGTGGCTCAGTTGCTTTTTGAGAAGTAACATCACTAAGTACAGTTTTTCCCTCTCTTCAAAATTAAGCTTCTGTCCGACTGCACTGTCCTGTGATTTTCTGAGCTAATAAGCAGATACACAGTGTTGTATCCTTCACTTTTCTCATGATTTTATTTTGTTTCTGTCTGAGGTTGGCTTTTGTTTGTTTGTTTTTTTTTTTAACACCTTGCCAGTGGGGTCTTTAATGGGGGAAGTAGATGCTGTGAAACTACCAACCAAAAATATCTTTGGGGGTTCTCTAGCTTAGGATAGCTTCATAGTCTGTGTGCATTCATTGCCCGACTGTCTTAACCTAACCTAGTTAGTAAGCCTACTCTTTTCTTTAAGAAAACTTTACAAATTTTTCTTCTGTTCTTCCTAGTTGTCACTTCAAAAAACAAAGCCGAGTGCTTTTAACTCTTCTTCGTTCATACAGTGAGGCTAAGTAGGACAAACACAAACTTGTTTTTCATAAATTAAAAGTTTTACCATAATCCAAGCGTAGAGAGGATTAAAAATACTTCATGTGCACAATGTGATTTTTTTGTTCACTCCCAATTTTGCTGAATTTCAGAATGTGGATTTATCAATGATGAAATATTTGTTGAGCTGGTCAATGCACTTGGTCAATATAGTGATGATGAAGATGATGATGGAGATGACAATCCTGATGAAAGAGATGACAAGCAAAAAGATCGGGAAGGTAACAGGATGGGTATGTCTGTCTGCAGACTTCAAAAATAAGACCAAAAAGCTCTTTTCTTTAATCACTTGATACATTTGTTCAGATCATTCTACTTGATAGTTTTCAGCTCTGAAGTAACGCTATTTTCTTCATCGTGTCCTTTGCCATTTAGTTCAAGAATTGTACAGAGAATGCTACAAAAATGCTTTTGCCAGTTTTCTTTCTCTGTGACCTGAGACAAAATCACAAATCAGTTGGGGATCTAAATATTTATTAAGGCTTTGATATATATAATTTAGTACTCCTCAGAAAATTGACTAATACTGTTCTTAAGCAGGCAGAGTTCTGAATTGCCATCTCCATCTGCTGGTGAAATAATGATTTCTCCAAATTTTGTTAGTGCAGTTCTGTCAGCAGAGAAGATCATTTTAAGGAGATTACTTTAAATTCTTGGTAACTTAGAAATAAACTTTGTTTCTTTTATTAGGATTTTGGCGCAGTCCCTCTTTTACTGAATGCCTCTTTGAGGTAGCAAAGGAGCAGAAAAATAATTTCTTTTGTTTTGTTTTCCACACGTTTTCCTGCTTTGACAGAGAAAGAAAGCCACCCACCTCGGAGGTTTCCATCTGACAAGATATTTGAAGCCATTTCCTCAATGTTTCCAGATAAGGGTACAGCAGAAGAATTGAAAGAGAAGTAAGGGTATTTCAAATATTACTAGTTTGCAACATGAAACAAAGATTCCATGACTTCATTAAATACTTGTTGATAAGGAATCTTCTCCCATCCTCTTCAGAAGCGTCTGGCTTCTGTAGCAGTTGTATGACTTCCCACTCCCTTTGAATACCACTGCAGATGTTCTTTCTAGTTGAGCGAAGCAATGGAGACAGGTTTATTGGTCTTTCAGACTAATGGAAAGCGAGTGCTTGCATGTGATTAATGATGTCATTTGTTAGTAATATGTGTGAGACAGTGACGTTCAAGAAAGTAAATGCATGCCTTCCTAACGATTTTATATTAATGAGTATAGCACTGAGTACTTGTCACGCTATTTGCTGATGAGCAGGCAGTTACCTTTCCTACAATTTTTAAAAATTTGTTTCTAAAAACACATAGTGTTACTGCAGTTGAAAGTTGCTATGGTTTTTATTATACTGAATAGAAACCTTGTATTTCTTTCTCTTAAGATACAAAGAACTCACTGAACAGCAGCTTCCAGGAGCTCTTCCTCCTGAATGCACACCAAACATAGATGGACCAAACGCTAAGTCTGTTCAGAGGGAGCAAAGCCTACATTCTTTTCATACACTCTTCTGTAGACGCTGTTTTAAATACGATTGCTTTTTACATCGTAAGTACTGTTGTATTGTGCTTCTATAGCTTTCTTTTTGCAAGTTGGAGAAATTGAAAGAGCCCTGAGATGCAGTACAGAAAGAAAGAGGAAAAGTAGTAACAGTATCCCTGAAGTTTACAAAAGAGTTCTGTCCAGGTTGATGTTACTTTATGGTAAACTATCAACTAAACTATGTTACTATGGGAAACTATCTCTTTAGAGCGTTGAATGTACCTGTTCAGGTGGATTTAAATGATGTTTTTGCATTCAGCAGTTCTTACAGATGTTATTTCTCTTTGTGTGATCTTCAAGAAAACGGCCTTTTTTTTTTTGTTTCCCCACTGTAGTTACACTTTTGCAGCTTTTGTGGAGAAACTGAGAACCGAATGCATTTCTCCATAAAGATATCTGTTGTTTAGCAGACTTGCTTCATCTTCCATAAGGGAGAATGAATATCCGTGAAGTTTTGTCTTCAATTCTCTTAGGCTACTTTCTAGCCATGTTGCACCTACCTGATGATCTGAAGAATAGTTTCAGACATTTGAATTTTAGCAACTGGGATATCCTTTCCACTGTATTCCTTCCACGTTGCCCCATTCTTCTGGGGAATTTAATGAGAACTCCAGCAATTACACAAGTTTTCTTTTGCAAACAGTTAAGAATAAGATTCTGTACTGCTATGTGAGACTGTTCTTTCTCTGAAAATGGAGTCAAGTGTGAAGGGAAACATCAGAGTCAAAGATGAAGTGGTTGGATTTCTAGTTGAATACTGCAATGCCCTCTATTCAAAATTAATTTTCTCAATTGATGTAACTGCCCTGTGTATATTAGACTGAGTATATATATCTGGAAGTCTTTGTGCTTTGTGAGCAGCTCCTTGTCTAGCCCACGTGCATTCTGCCTGTATTTGTACTTCCTGCTGAAGGCATTGCACAGAGCTGCTTCTTTGTGGTATCCCTTGTTTGCTTTTTGGGTTAAAGAGGAACTGGACTTATTCTCAGATGGGAGGGAGGGGGAAATTTCTAGTTTCATCAGGGTTTGTGGCTTTTGGAGTTGGCTCAGTTAGTTTCACTTTCTCCCTGTATTCCATTGGCAGGTCTTTCTTGAAACTACATGCTGAGAAGCTTTGTCCAGCCATCTTCAACATTGTGTGTTGTGTTAAGCTGTAGGTATTGTTTAAGAGTGTCTTAGTTACCCAGGTGACTCGTTTTAAGAAGTGCTTTTTGGGTAGCTTGGTCTGTAGGACAGGGAGGTGAAGCTGTGTGCTACCTCTTGGCCTATCCGTTAGTCTGGAGCTTTTGCTAGTGTCAGTAGTTTAACAGGGAGTTTAAACGTCAGTCTAGTTTATCTATTTCAAACACATTTTGGTTTTTAAGACAACAAGAATGGAAGGCTTTCTGCAACAGCGTTGGGTTTTTTGGTCATTTTTCTCACTTTTTTTATAACTTGGAATAGTTTTATACTCTTTATGTAGATATATCTTCATACAGATTTACCTTTTCAAATTATTTTTTAACCTTTTCAGAAGAAGAGATGAACAAATATACATCCATAAGTCCATTGGCCCTGCAGGGATGCATCTACAAGTGCTGAGGGAGTTGGCAAATGCGGCCGTGATGCCACCTCATATTTGATCAATTGTGGCAATCTGTAGAAATGCCTGGAGAGTACAGAAAAGCAAATGTCACTAATATCCTCAAGAAGTGCAGGAAGGAGGATGTAGAAAACTAACCCGGGCCACCCTTACCTTGATGTCTGGGAAGACAGAACAGCTAACCCTGGTAGGCATTTTTAAGGCTCACAAAGTCAGGAGTTCTCCACGTGGATTCATCAAGGGACAGTCATGCTTAACCAACCTGATGAGTTTCTTTAGTAAAATGACTGGCCTGGTGGATTAAGGAAGAGCATTAGGTGTTGTCCATCTGGACTTTAGCAATGTCCCCTATAAGATTCCCACAGAGAAGCTGTTGAAGTGTTGGCTGGATGAGCAGATTGTGAGGTGGCTTGAAAATGGTGAGTAAGTGGATCTGGAAGTCAGTGGTGCAAAGTCTCGTTGGAGGCCAGTAATGAGCAGAATACATTGGAGTAAATGGTGGGTCCTGTCCTGTGGGGCACCTTTGTTGATGATCTGGATGATGGAGAAGAATGCACCTTCGTGGTCGATGGCGGGGGAAGTGGCTGAACCATGCAGCTGGCCAGAGGATAATTGTGAGCTGGAGAGGTGTGCCAACAGGGGTCTCATGCAGTTCAGCAAGAAGCGAGAAGTCTTAAATGTGGGAAGTGAAGTAACCCTAGGCACTAGGACATGCTGATAGTCACAGAGCAGCTTCACTGAAAAGGCCCTGGGAGGTATGGTGGACATTAAGTTAAGCATGAGTCAGCAATGTGCCTTTGCTACAAGGAAAGCCCGTGTTGTCCTGGGCTGCTTTAGGCAAAATATTGCTGGTAGATGGAGACAAGTGGTCCTTCTCTCCCTCTGCCCTGAAATGCAGTTCTGGGCTCCTGGTACAAGAGATGAATGGAAATACTTGAGAGAGATTAGTTAAGAGCCATTACGGTGATGAAGGAACTGGAGTATCTCTCTTTTAAGAAAATGCTAAGAGAGCTGGGAGTATTTTTTTGGAACAGAAGGTCAAGAGAGGAACTGAAGTATGGAATGCAGAAAAGATGAAGCCAGGCTCTTTCTCTTGTTTCCCAGTGATGGGGTAAGGAGAAACAAGTTTCAGGTTTCTCCTGAACTTTGGAAAGCACTCCTGTACTGTCTGAGTGACTGAGCACTGCCACAGAGAGATTTTAGTTTCTCCCTTTGGAGAGCTTCAAAAGGTCACCTTGATGTGGTTATGGGCAGGCTGCTGTTTGGTCTGGTTTAGACCAGAGAGCTGGAAGAGACATCTGGAGGCCCTTTCTGATTCATGGGTCACATTGCAGTACCAGTTACTATGGGGAGTCTGGTGTTACCAGTTCATGGCTTTATAGGCACCAACTCGGAGACATCTTCTAGGATGTCTAAGGATGTATTCATAGTATTTTTCCTTTTGACATTCTTAAATGCTAGAACCAGCCAACAGTAAATCTGGACTAATGTCCGTAGTCAACTTTAGGACATCAGTTCGTACACTAGCAGCATCATTTAAATGGAAAGCATCGTGTTTTCCTTTTCTGTTATTCAAAACATTCAGATAGCAAACTGCTTATGATAAAAGACTGCCTACGTTCTTGTTGCTGGTCATTTTTAAATCCTGTAAACAAGTCAGTATTCTTTCCAAAGTGTTGTGTGTCCAATGCAATGTTTTAAGCTCTACCTTGAGCTTAAAAAGGACTAAACTTTAATCTCTTCAAGTACTCTCAGGCTTTAGCTGAAAAAAGGATAAGTGGTGTTTTCAGTAGGATGGTACTCCCCAGTGAGTTCTTCCATTCACTGTGGAGCACTGTGTCAAGGCAGTGTGAAGTTATCTGCAATGATTATGCCCTTCATCAGCATTTGTGGCACAGTCATTGTTGCCAATTTAAAAAATAAAGGAATTGATCATTGCAAAGAGATCTCTTGAAGCTTTATTTCTGCATTCAACATGTAACTTTCAGAACAGGTACTGAGTGTAGTAAACTGACACTTCAGTCCCCGTTTCCTGAAGACATACCCAAATCGTACCTCCACAATGGTTAGTAGATTTCTTCTGCTTTCTGTAAGTTAGATTCCTCTGCTTTTTTTTTTTTTTTTTTTTTTTTTTTTTTTTCTTCCCTGTGCTAACACCAAAGAAGAAGTTTTTTTTGTGTGTGTGTCTAGAGGTGGAAGTTGATCTGTTAAGAACCAAGAAAATTCAGCTGTGTGGCTTTTTCACTTTCTGTGAATCTGTAAGACTTGTAGTCCAAGTGCACTGGGTTCACTGCTGAGGAATAAGAAACTCTTCAACCAAAGAACACACTCGTTATCAGAGGGCTACAGTAATAGATTACAGCATATCTGCAACAATTTGACTAACTTTTAAACAAAGTTGATAGCATTTCTACTAGCACGTGTTCTCTACACTTGCAATTGGCGAGCACCTCAGGATAATGTCCTAGCTTCTGTGGATGATATTTTGAATTAGCTGTCCTGGAGATGTGGTGGGCTTCAGTTATCTGCATGAAAATAAGAGAATTGAGCCCATTGGGGATGAGACAAGTAAATCATGCAGATGGAAAACGTACTCAGTGGAGCAGTTTCAGAATAAATTTGAGGAAATTTTTAAAGAAAGGCTCACAGCAGCAACATGCATAAATTGCTTTTCCTATACTGCAGTTTTTACATATCTATGTCAGTATGGTAAACTGAAGTCTTTTTGTATTTCCTGATTTACAAAACTTATCTGTGGAGAAAAAGATGCAATATTTAGTTATGAAATATTTAGTTATTTTATATCCTTTTATGCCTTTTTTAAAAAATTGTTTTTTATACCAGCCTTGGAAGAATGCATTGCTCCCCCAAGATCCCTATGTGTGAGATTTCTACAACATCTTCCCTTATGGGAGGAAGCATGTAATGATGGTTTTAAGATGTCAGAAGCCCCCTTAAGATGTGCATACTAGCACTGACTCACTTTCCTCGTTGGTCCCAGATCAAATGCTAGAAGAGCTATGTTGTAAGTCAATTGCCTGGCAGGTATTGCTTGAAAAGGGAATAACTACTGAGAAAGTTCAGTCTTGAAGGCACAGTGGTGGATTGTTATGGCAAGAAACCTCATGTAGAATCTAGAAATAAGTAGGAAAAGCTATGGTGGTGGTTCTGAAGGAGAAAGAGGTGAGTTCTGTTAATATGGGAGAGGACGGATTTGTATGGGTTGAGAGGGGAGAGATTTGTTCTTTCAGTTCAAAAAATGGTGCTTCACTGAGTGATGAAAGCATAACTACAACTTACTGTTGCTCAACTGTAACTGTGTTAAAAACTAACATGAGTGTCTGGGATTAAAACATTTTCTGACAGGAGTCTCTTAGGCCTTCATGGAGTGTCAGAGAACAGACAGCTAGTGCTGAGTCTGGTGTTTTGTTGGTCTTTTTTATTAAGCTTCAGTACAATGACCACTTACTTTTTCTTGTAGTTGTATGTGCTACTGTTACTACATTTATAGGGGAAAAGTATTTATCGGAGGACTTAAACATATGTATAGAATTGTGGAAAGCTAACTAATATTTTTGAAATCTCATAATTGGGAACTTGAGTGTGCCAGGTCCTATGCGACTCTAGCTGCAGATTTCCTGAGTTTGAGTTCAGTGGGGGATTCCAGGGTGTTCCTAAAGCTTCCAGTGAAAACGCTCTGTTGAGAGGCCAGTGTCATATGATGGAAGATCTGGCAAAGACAAACTCTGGCAAAAATATGGCTGTGGAGCTTAGTCACTCTGTAAAAATATTAACGTTGCATTTGTAATGTACCCAGATCTGCATCGTTCTAAGTCACTGTTCTGCAGCTTGAGTGCTGTACAGATTCCATCAGTATTTGTGAGCATTTAAGTCTGCAGCTTGGAGAGAAATTAGTTCTGGTGCTGATAACTAATGGAGTAAAAATGATCATAATTCCTTCCCAGTGACTAAAATGAAAACTGGGTTCTTTGCTTTGTGTGGAGTTGTTAACTTTTATGTAAAAACGGTAAAAATTGAACGTAGGATGCTTACAGCTTGAGAGATGTTCATTCATAGGAGAAATCTGAGTAGTTCTGTTTAACTTGGTGATGGTAATCAAGTTTGTTCTGTTTGTAACTTAAACGTCAGTAGGTGGCATGTATCTTGAGGCTTTTTCCGTTTTTCTAGTTTTTATGCTGTTCTTGGTGAAGTCTTGGTACATCTTGTGTTTTTAATACTGTTTGAGGTTAGATATGTAATGCATTTTTTTTACTTTTAAGACTTGCAAATGTTATTTTCTTGATTCAACAGCATTCCATGCAACTCCAAATACTTACAAAAGAAAGAATACAGAAACAGCATTAGATAATAAGCCCTGTGGACCGCACTGTTATCAGCATCTGGTAAGATAATTTCAAATGAGCTGTAAGCATCTACTAAAGCACAATTTCTTGTAAGTACACCGAGCTGCGCTTACTGTTAGGATGTGCTGTGTATATGAACGTGCTTGTACCTGTAGGCTGCTTGCAGTCAGGCGTGTCATCTTCAGTTTTTGTGAAAGAAATGTTAGTCACAAAGTGGACGTTTGAGTAGGAATACCTTTCAACTCTGCTAGATGTAGCCTGACATGCTTGTAAGAAGGTACGATCATTTCCTACTAACTGTGTGTTGCTGCCCTTGTGTCCAATCTAGTCAAAGAACTGGGTTTTACAGACTTAACTTTCTCATAAGCTGCCTATCAACTGAAAATTGGACGGATTTAGTTTGCTGAAGAAGGGTTATTTCCAGAATCTTTGTTTTTTCAGGAGCACGTGATTTGAACTGACAAGAGGAAACAGTTTAAAAAACAAACCAATGAGAAAACTCATACTTCCCCTAAATGAAACTACATGTCTAATCTTCTAACGTAAAAAATTCCTATCATACTCTTTCCACTACAAAACAAATTCCCATACTGATGGTCTTTTGAAAATGCAAAGTGCTTATTGTGTAGATGCCATGTGCAAAAAGAGTTCTTGTGTGTTGGAGGCACTCTGGAACATTCTCACTACTTCTGTCACATAGGAAGGTGAAAACTTATTACTGAACAAATTAATTTTTTACTTGGCAGCAAAAGTGGAAACAGGACCGAAATTAATATTCGGTAAATGTAGATTTATCCTATCATCAGAAGCGTTCGTGTTCATGATAGTAAACTTGAATGTGGAGAGACCTTAACTGCATCAATGTTGCGGGTGAATTAACTGGCATTTGTGTCCCTGATTAAATTTATAGAGTAATATGCAGGTATCCCACACCCCGGGCAGCAGGTGGCAGCGCTCCTAAGCTTCTAGTGAAGATCAGTGATTTGTTTTTAGGAAGGTGCAAAGGAGTTTGCAGCTGCCCTGACTGCTGAGCGTATAAAGACGCCACCAAAGCGCCCCGGGGGCCGCCGGAGGGGAAGGCTTCCAAACAACACCAGCAGACCCAGCACACCAACAATAAATGTGCTGGAATCAAAAGACACAGACAGCGACAGAGAAGCTGGGATGGAAACTGGAGGAGAAAACAACGATAAGGAGGAAGAAGAGAAGAAAGATGAAACATCCAGTTCCTCTGGTAAGGCTAGTCAAAATGGTGCTTGGCTTGGCAGCATGAACCCACCTCCTGCAATGAAACCTTAGAAACAATGTATTTGAAACATTAGAAATGGGTGAAAAAGCAGAGGAACCATGAGTTTAATAGATCTCTGTAACAAAATGTCCAGGTCCTCTCAGCTTCGTTTAGAAATGAGATCTGTAACTTCAACGGCCAGCGTTACCTAGTTCTGCACTTCAGGAGCTGGGTGAAAGTTGCTGTTCTGTTGTAGTGCTTAAATAAGTGAAACCAGCAGAACTCTGGGCTACTTTTTACTGCAGTTGAGCAGGTTATTTGATGTTTTTAAAGGCTATAGGTTTCTATAAGTTTCTTCCTGAAATATAACCTTATGTTGATTCGTACTTTAAATGCTTATTTATTACAGAAGCAAATTCTAGGTGTCAAACACCAATAAAGATGAAGCCAAATATTGAGCCTCCAGAGAACGTGGAATGGAGTGGTGCAGAAGCCTCAATGTTTAGAGTTCTTATTGGCACTTACTATGACAACTTCTGTGCAATCGCCAGACTAATTGGGACCAAAACATGCAGACAGGTAAGGAGGGGAGTGATGACTGAGGATGACAGCGTTTTACTTTTGAAGCCTGAAATACAGAACTAGTATTACTGAAATAGACAAGTAATTTCTTCGGTTTTCCCAAGAATGTGATGATCCAGAATTCATGCTACAAGTATACAGAAGTTAATTTAATTTAAAAACAGATTTAAAACTTACAAGAGGCTTTAGGTAGAGTATTTAGTCTACAGTGACAAAAACGATCAACCTTACGGATCCATCTTTTCAGTATATTTAAGATGTTGATTGGAGGAAATAGTAATACTATAGAAAATGAGCAACTTTCTACTAGTGAGAGATTTATCATGGATGTATTATGGTATCTCTTGTTAGGTGTATGAGTTTAGAGTAAAAGAATCTAGTATTATTGCTCCGGTGCCTGCTGAAGATGTTGATACTCCTCCCAGGAAGAAGAAAAGGAAACACAGGTAAATCTGTTACTAAATGCCCTTTGCATAAAGGAAAATTGAAGATAGAGGGGATCTGAACAGAAGCTATTTTTAAGAAATAGTCATCCATATCCTTCTTTTTCTTCTCAAAAATGAAATTTGCTGCAATAAAACACTTTTTTGCTGTTGTTTTTTTTGTTTTCCCAGACAAAAGCACTGCCACGTGGGGACGGGAAGTGTTACACTTGCCTTCCCTCCCCTCCTTTTCTCTAGCTTCCTAAACAGACAGATTCTGGAAGGTTTATTGCTGCAAATAATCGAAGTGTAGTTTGGAAATACTCTTCTGCATGGCTGGTTACAATATTCAAGAAATGTCAGTGGAATTTTGAAGCAGTAAATATTAAATTTACAAGCATTATACTGGTATTAAATAGTGACATATTATTTTTCAAAGTAAACCTATGCTTTTTATGTTGAAATTTATTGAATCAAAAGATTCAGGTGATCGTTAAGAAAAAAAAATGAACTGTAGGATGGCTTTTTAAGGGACGTGGCAGGAATTCCCTTGTTACACCCAGCTGCATTATCAACTGCAGCTTCAATTGAAGAAATAGGTTAGTAGACTCTTAAGTGCAGCTTCAATTTTTAAATAACTTTTAATAATCAGCTTTAATTAAGTACAAAATAAAGCTGCATGTGGAGCCAGAAAGACCTTCTAAAACAATTCCTGTTGAAACTTTAAACTTACTATCTACCGTCAGTGAAATATAACTTCCTTTGGGAATACTGAGGTTCAAACAACATAACTCAGTGTTCTGATCGCTTTTATTCCTAGGGGTGAGAAAATGGGAGATAGATAAATAACTGGCTGAAAGTTAGCAAGAACTTTTATTTCTACAAGGAATAAGTATGCTTTTTTCAATGTTTCTTATTTTCCCCTTTGTCTTTCCTTACCTTCTCCTTGTTCATTCTTCCTGTTCTTCCAGTAATTCTAGGTATCTTTATTATTTCCAGCCTTAGTGAAATTCCTAAAGTTGATTTAAAAACTGATGGTGGAGTAGGATGTTTCTGTTTTGTAGTGCAGAAACAGCTGATGTAAGCCAAGAAAAAAATCTAGTGAGCATCTGGAAGGAATCGTCTGTTCTGAGCAAAACGCATTGATTTAATGTTTTTGGCACATTTTTCAAGTTTGGGGGCATTTGCTGGGCTTGGTTTTTTAAATCTGGAGATAATAGCTGCAGTGCAAGTTTAGAATATGCAGTTGGGAATTAGCTTACTTTCAGGTTCTTGCAAATTGCTAGAAGAATAATGCCACTATGCCAGTTTCTGAAGTTCGACTAAAAGGCTCAAGTGCCCTTTGAAGCTGAAATTGATTGTAGAGGCAGCACAATGACGTTGTTTTTGGAGGAGTTTCGAGTCTTTTGTATAAAATAAATGGTCATGTGCCAGCATATGGAGTTTCTTGATATTTTATTCCTACTAGCTGCAACAAACAGGTCTTGTGGGCCAGTAATTTGATATTGAAACGCCTTTCAATTTTTTTTCCTCTTCCTTCACTGAAAGGTAAAATAACTTTTTTCCTTTAATTTCATAGAATATGGCGATTAAGCAGTGTCTGTTCAGTGCCTTTCAGAAAGGAAAACTGTTCAGTCCATACACATACGAGTGTAATCTGAGCACTGTGTAAAGATGTCACGCAACTGGGATGGCTGGGAAAACCACCTGCGAGTCTTTGTTTCTTGTTCTGTTTGAGTTTATCCAGTCCTGGAGTAAATCCAGTTCTGAAAGGACCTGTGCCCTGTTCTCTGCTCTTCACCGTTGCACTGTGCTCATGGGGTGCAATGCCTTTGAGGAAAGGCAGCATTCACTGAAGAGAAAAGCAGTTGCAGATGGCTTTGTTAATGGCCTTTTCTCTCTGATTTGATAGCTGATTCTCTTAAGACTTTGCTTCGGCACGCGTATAGTATCATTAAAAAGAAAATTCTAACCTTGCAAGTGAAACTGCTACTGTTAGCTGAATGACACGTCTTCTGTGCCATCTTCTACCCATATAGGTACACTGAATAACTAGTTGGTATGACTGCCCATCGTGGATAGCAAATAGTGCTCTCTGCCTCCATCCGGTGTCTCTTTAGTTAGATAGCTGCAGTGAGACTGATCAAGAACCAGAAAACATCTTTTTTATACAGTGGTTTCTGGAAATAGACTGTGTCAACTTTCTTTGGCTGGACTAAAAAGTATTTTGCATAGGAAGCAGGCAATAGGAAAACCCGAGAGAAGAAAAAATGCAGAAAGCATGGTTATATGCTGAAAGAAGGTTACTTAGTTCATTCTCTTATGTATTTGTTCTTCCTTGGCTAGGAGCTGACTTGCGTGCTGGCTTTGACTAATGGGCCCTTTTCCCATGGATTGATAAGAATCTGATTGTAGTGTCCTATAACGCTGCTGCTTGATTTTTTTTTTTCTCCCCTTCCTCTTTCTCATCCTCTATTCAGATGTGAGTTTACTTCGTAAGCTTTACTTGAAAGTACTTTTTCTCCACTTTTCTCCTCTTTTCTCCTCTTTCATTCTGCTTTCCCTACCTTCCCCCAAACTGCTGCATGTGCCTAAGAAGCTTTGTACAGTTCTGCACCGTGTTTACGGTACAAAGATTTATGGCAGCAGAGAAGAATGTGAATATTTTTGACAACTGCTATCATAGTGCTTATGGAAATGCTTGCTTTCAAAACTGGCTATCAAGCAGAGATCAGCTACCAGATGTAACAAACCCACCTATTTGCTTGGAAATCTGCCACTGAGTTTACAGTTCATTTTTTTTCTGTAACATCTTGTTGCAAGCTCTTTCTCAACAATCTTCTCGCTTTCACTTCCTAGTTTGTGAGCTCAGATCTTCTCTTCTGATAGAGATAGCAAATTAGAGGGCGATGCAAGACATCAGTCCATTTCTGATATGTACTTAGACTTCAGCTTCGTCGACTAGTAAGGGGAACTTGCAGCCCTTCCTGACAGTCCTTAAGAGAAAAGGCTGTGGTGTTTGACTTTGCCAGTCAGACTTGTCTAACTGGTGAGTGTGGGCAGCTTCGTGCTGCCATCTGTCGCTTCCCTCACGCCGCGATGGCGCTGCAGGCAGGCCTTGCTCGGTTCTTGCCAGGCTCTCTGACACTGGCTGCTGTTAGGAGAGCAGCAGATCTGATGCCTTCGTCACTGTGACTGCCATACTGATTTCTGCACTGATCCTGGTTGTTAGTATTCTGAACTTGTGGTTGACGACGACCTCTGCCATATTCAGGTGGCCACGTTGATACAATCCGCTTTCCCATAAAACCAAGAAGTCCTCGCTGGCAGCTGGTCAGCAGGTGGCATTTTACACTGAGGCATTAGGATGGTTGTATGGGAACTGTTGGGTCGTGCAGTGATCGCCTGGGGAAAGGACAGTGTGCCCTGGGAGCGCAGCTGGAGGCGTTCAGCTGTGCAGCCTGGAGTGGTGGAGCCTGGCTGCACCTCCCAGAGCCGTTAGGGGCTGACTGCCACGGGAGGCATCTCCAGAAAGAGATCCTTCCCCTCTGTGGACTTCTCCCCTGTGAGCCCAGATCTTTGGAGACAGGTGAGCAGTCCCTTTTCCTTCGCTTATAACAGCTTCCTGTTGTGTTAGTCCCTCTGTCATTACACCTCTTGTATCAACTTTCCATCGTGTTGATCTTGCTGATTGTTACAGATAGTGCTTAACTTGAAATAAATATTCATATTAATTGCTAATGAAATAATGCTTTAAGGAGTGCATTCACAGAAATCTTTAAAGGGTTTATCACGCTTTTTGGGAAGGATTTGTTTAAAAGCTTTGTGTTTCCTACATTTGCCAAAAGCCAGCCAGCAAAAAAAAAAAAAAGTTTGCACATTAGAGTAATTTAAGTCGAAATTGCACTCATATCAGTGTCTTCTTCAAAAGAATTGGTGTTAACAAATATGCTGGCACCTTTTTTTGTAGTGTTTTGTATCTCTGGTGAGTAGTCTTTGGTTCTGTGCCCTGTCCACAGCTTCAGTAGCCTGGATAAGTCTGCCGCTGTGTATGGCAGGAAGGTGCAGCACACCACTGAATTAAAGTAGAAATTGAGATAATGGGTTTACAAAATAAAGCACTATGTAGAAACTTCAAGCTGAGGTGGTACAGTGGGACATTCAGAAGATGGGCTTTTTAAATATTACTTATTTTACAGATTTTTTTTTTTTATATTACTGAAATACAAGTGCTAACGAGAATGCGTATAATTGAACAAACCTTAAGAAACATCAATTTCTACTTTAAAGCTAGTGAAATTTTCTGTCTAGCACCTGTTTGTCACCTAAGGCTGGACAGATACTTTTTCTTGATTCCTTGCTCCCGAAACTTGCAATCTACATAATAAAGGAGTAGTCATGACTTACAAGTACAGTGAGCTATGTTGTGGTAAGCAAAAGCATGCTATATTTCAACAAACGTGCATTCCACCTTCTCCTAGCCTCTGCCCCAAAGCAAACTGGCAAAAGCGCTGCTTAGGCAGTATAACAAAGAAAGAGAATGCTGAAGGACAGTTTTAAGGATTGAAGAGAGGTATGTAAGGCATACAGAGTTTGAAGCAGAAGGGAAGTGGCTCAGCACTGTGATCCCGTTGGAGATGAGCAGATAAAGGGTGATACCTGGCTGTGATCTTGAGGAGACCGCTGGTGGGGTGTTGAGTCTCCAGTCCCGTGAAGAAAATGGCTGTGAGAATTTCACTCCTCTATGTGGACGTGCCCCTGCGTGTTTGCAATTCAGTGTACTTCCTTCTGCTGCTGCCTGCTTCAGTGCTTTCCTATTTGCAGGTTTTCCTTACAAGCCAGACGAATTTCAGCCTAGGGCTGGTAGATGCTGCTTGTCTGTACCATCTTGGGACTAGTGCAATGCTGAGGGGGCGGGGGGAACCATTAGTCTGCAGTGTTGATACAGTCAGCTCCAAGGAACTGGAACAGGGTGCTTCTGCTGCAACCAATTCTGTGGGTCTGGCAGACGTTTATGTTACCAAAACTTGCCCATTTTAAATCAAACATGGGTACAAGATGCAGAGGACTTTCCCAGCCCACTGCAGGTGGAGTGGAGTTCCTGTCAACTTTCTTGTGTTTGTTTTGTGTTTTTTGCAGGTTGTGGGCTGCTCATTGCAGAAAGATACAGCTGAAAAAGGGTTAGCATCTTTCCATTCAATTTATGTCCTGAACTTTTAAGATCCTACTGCTGTTTTTTTTTTCGGTTTGGATTTTGTTGGTTTTTTCCCCGTTTTCAATTTTAGGCCGTTATGTACTTCCTGTAGGGAGCTAGAGATAAAGCAAGCTCTCCTTAGAGATAGCAGGGGTAAAAGGTGTTAATTGATTTATATAACTGTTTGGAAATAGTCTGTATAACTCAGAAGGAGGCTGAATTAACAACTTCTTTCAGCATGTGCTCATAAAGTATGGAAAGCAGGACTGGGAGCTGCGCTAAAAAGCAGCATTTGCCTTAAAAAGAAAAAAGCTTAAAAATGTGTTGAGAACAGTTTGGGGCTTGTAACAACATTAAAAATTGATTCTTTCCCCTTTCTCGTTGCTGACGGATCATTTTTGCAGACACAACAAACGCTCAGTGCAATTAACAGGAAGCACAATCTATATAGCACCAAATTCTCTTCACCGCTGTACAGATAAAGCTAGACTTTACTCCAGTCGTCCCTTCTGGCCTGTAAGATGTTGGCTTTGTCTGGATTAGAAAATTGGCTTTGAAAGCTTGGTATTGTAATGGATGGGTGTTATTCTGCCCATGTGTCTGTTTTAAAACTGATTGTTTGTTCCTCAAGTGTAAAAATGACTTAATGACTTGGAGCACTTGAGCAATTCATTTTGCTAGATAAAACAGTGTTACTCTAGCACATATTTACACAGGAAATTATGCTATTGTAGCTTCATTTTTCGCTTTTCCACAGTAGAGAGTGTTCAGCTCTGAATACACTTAAGCAGCTGAGTAATGGGAAGAATAAGATGCACGAAGAGGCAAGCAGCTAGTGGTATCAAGCACCTAACTAATACTACATTGTTTTTTCTAAACACACACCTCCCTTCTTTCCCCTCCCACCACTGATGGTAGAACTGGGTCTGTTTGGTTTTGGGCTTTCTCAGTTAAGGGGACTTCAAGGGAATTTCTGCTTTAAACAATGAGGGGAACTGCACGTTGTTTGCACCTTTCACTATTAAAGATGTTGCAATTTTTATTCAGATGGTTCATCAAATCATGTTTACAACTATCAGCCATGCGATCATCCACGTCAGCCTTGTGACAGCTCATGCCCTTGTGTTATTGCTCAAAACTTCTGTGAGAAGTTTTGTCAGTGCAGCTCAGAATGTAAGTAAAAGTAGAACACTTACCTATAAACTTTCCTCACTGTTTCAGTGTCTTTGCTGGCACCCTGTCCCCTCTGCAGGCAGTGTTTGTGAGAGCTGTAAACAGTGTCAAGCAGTTGACAAGGAAGCACGTGTTCAATTTAAGTTGGCCCTCTTAATTAGTCATTGAACAAAGTCAAAAGCAGTTGTAATGATTGGACTTGAGGAAGAGTGAAGTAAAATTGGAGATGTTAAGAAGTTTTGGGACTCCTCTGTCTCTACTAGTGGATGTTGTTTTAATTTCCCTCTCTTTGCTAGACAGTTTGGAGAACATCTCTCAGTCTTTTTTTCTTTTGCTTGTGATTGAATTCAGGAAAGGAGAGAATGAACTGTCCTCATTCACCATTTTTGCCACTGAATAAAAACACAATCTTGGCTTTCTGTGGTCTGCAACAGAAGGAATGCTTTTCCAAGCAGACATAGAATAGCTTTTACTGAAGAGAGATCTCTAACAGTTCTCCCAGAGTTCTGCTTATCAGTGGCTGTAAAATATGTATCCATACGATGATCATACGATGATTTATCGTGTAAGATGGTTCTGTTTAAGACCCATCACCTTTTTATGATTTGAGTTTGAGCTCCTGCTTACACCCCACCTGTGCATCTCTCCTGGCTGGACTGCTGCTAGAGGTATTTGGAGCGTAATTCTTTTGTTGCTCCAAAACTAGCTCAGCATTTCTCAGTTCAGAACTACAGTGGGCAGATTGCTTGGAGGTCTTCTACTCCCTCTCTGCTGTGCTAAGCCTAATAACATATCCTTGTAAAATGTCAGTGCTTGACAAACTGCATTCTGTGAATCGGCATTTCCTGATGCAAGTCTTTCCTGTTGGTATTTTTCCAGCCATCCCTGACCACAAATGCAGGTCAGTCCTTGCAGTGGACATTGGCAGTAATTCTGCAGGGTCCATGCAGGTCCATTATGGAAAATGTCCCCTGAAATTGTGGTCAGGCACTGTAACGGGCTGCCCAGACAGTTGATTGAGTCACCGTTCCTGCCAGGTGCCCAAGAAATGTGGAGATATGCCACTAAAGGCTTAGTGGGGAAATACTGAGGGCAGGTGGATGTTTGGATGATCTTCCAACCTTAATGATTCTGTGAATTTATAGTAATTGACAGAACCACAGAATGGCCCGGGTTGGAAGGGACCCCAAGGATCACGAAGCTCCAACCCCCCACCAGTGCAGGGACACCAACCTCCCCATTTCACAGCAGCCCAGGCTGCCCAGGGCCCCATCTAACCTGGCCTTGAACACCTCCAGGGATGGACGGGGCATCACAGCCCCTCTGGGCAGCTGTTCCAGCACCTCACCACTCTCATAGCAAAGAACTTCCCCTGACATCCAACCCCAGTCTGCTCTCCTTCAAGCTAAAACCATTTCCCCTTGTTTTTCGTAATGTCCTATAAAGAAACCAATGGCTATGCTTGTTTTTAATTGTTATTATTGTTTATTTTTAAATATTGACATACTGAAAGCTATGCTGTTTTACTTTGTATTTTTTCATACTTGCCTTTTTTTTCATCTATTCCTTTGCAGGCCAAAACAGATTTCCTGGATGTCGTTGTAAAGCACAGTGCAACACTAAGCAGTGCCCATGTTACCTGGCTGTTCGTGAATGTGATCCTGATCTCTGTTTAACTTGTGGAGCAGCTGACCACTGGGACAGCAAAAATGTTTCTTGCAAGAACTGCAGCATTCAGAGAGGATCCAAAAAAGTATGCAGATAGTTACAGAACTATGTGCCTTTTGTCTTTTTTGAAGCGTTCTTGTATTTTCATACCAGAGAACAGAATTTCTTCTGCTTCATGGTTTCAAACAGGAAGAAACAAATCAAATAAAGCAAGAAGAAAAAAAAAAAAAAAGGGAGGGGGGAGGTGGTGATGACAAGAAAACCCTCCAAACATACAGAAAACAAACATAAAAGACAATCAAAAGTAAAATCAGAAGGGGAGATAGCTGTCATCTGTTACCTTGCTTATGTGTCACTTTTAAGCACTGTGTACATTTTAGCATTTTCCAGCACCAAGGAAGCATTTCTTGTGTTTTCTGAAAAATACTGCGGAAGGATCTCTTCTTTCTGCCATTCTGCTTCACTTGTGATTTGCAGATAGGCTGCAGGTTTGAAGGATAAGTAGCTGCTGGCTCACGATGAGAAAACTTCACCTAGACATTAGTGCTGGCTATTTCTTTGTTCACTTGTTGATTGTAATGCACTTCACTTGCACGAAGTCTACCGAGTATCTCTGCGAAGCCTGTTCAGCTCTGCTTGATATTTTAAAAACAAATAAATTCTTAATTCTGCTTTGCAGCACCTTCTCACGAGTTGGTCAGTCAAACAGCGAGTGAATCAGCATTATGCTCCCATCTGTAGGCCTTTTTAGTCTGCAGTTCTTAATGTCTATTTGTGCTCATCAGTTAGAAAAATCCTTGTGTCAAGGAGGGGAGGGAGGGTCAACCACGTCTGTTTTATTTCTTTCTGTTTGCCTCCCACAGCACTTACTGTTGGCACCTTCAGATGTGGCAGGCTGGGGAATTTTCATCAAAGATCCTGTACAAAAGAATGAATTCATCTCTGAATACTGTGGTGAGGTAAAGGACGCCTCTGGTTACTGTGGACTTAATGGGTAAAGTTGTGTGTTGGAGATGATCTCCTGGTTCCAAACCAAGCTAATGTCGTTCTCCAGAGAGGGAGAGAGGTGACTGGCTAAGTATGCAGCTACTGCTGTTACAGGCTCCAAATCCAGGAGTTACGTGGTTGAAATGTCACCAAAAGTGTGAGGCTCTTGGGAGAATGAGCAACGGAGTGCCATTTTTAATCCTCAGTGTGACTTTCACTAACATTCAGTGAGCCATTAAATGTTATTCGATGGTAATAACAAGAAATTGAACACTTGCACAGTCTTACTTTTTAAGATGAGAAGCAATTCTTTCTTCCTACTCTAAAGGAACTTATTCGTGCTAAAAACAAGCTGTGATTGTTTCATAAACCTAGAGTATTCTTCAGAACGTCTTGTGTTCTTAGCCTTAAGCTGTTACAGTTGCAAAAGGTGGTTTACAATAACTATTTCTTTCAGATTATCTCTCAGGATGAGGCAGACAGAAGAGGAAAAGTGTACGACAAGTACATGTGCAGCTTTCTGTTTAACTTGAATAATGGTAAGTGTTTACCAGTCACAATCCGTGCAGTGTAATGAAATGTTGGCTCGCAGCTCTTTGTGTTCCACATCTTTTCCTAGCCATCTGCTGATTGCTAGTTCTGAGAGCAGAGGGGATTTATGTAAATGATATGCAAGGAGATAGCAGTAAAAGAGCCTATTAGACGAGGCAGCTACAGATGATGAGTTGAAAAACTGTAATTTTACTCCGTGAAATTCTTACAAGCATTAGTAAACTATCCTGAATAGTCTGCTTTGCTAGGTATCATTTGAAATAATTTCACTGTGACTTAAATAGCAGTAAGTTGTGGAGGTAATCTTGTGAGGGGAGGAAAATGTGCAGATGGGCAGCTGCTGCTGCTTGCAGGAAATAAGACTATTCTGTGTCAGTTATAGAATACAATAAATCATTTGAAAGAAAAGCTCTGCCTTCTGTAAACGTTGCCTTAATTTGTTTATGGAGCTTGCCCTTGTGGAGCAAGGGCAGAGAAGCTTCCAGTGGGAGCCACTGTGGCGGGAGATGAATGGGCTGCAGAGGTGGGGCAGTAGGGTCACTGAGCTGCAGTGATAAAGCTGCTGCATGAAGATGTGCCACCTCTTCAATGTAGGAAATTGAGCGGGTGTCTTTTCCAGCTGCTAAAATCTAAGCATAGTAATCATTAAACAAAGAAACTGTTTGGAGATGACCTTCCTATCGCTTATGGTTTTTACTCCTAGATTTTGTGGTTGATGCAACACGCAAGGGAAACAAGATTAGATTTGCAAACCATTCAGTGAATCCCAACTGCTATGCAAAAGGTATGTTTTACATTTAGCTCTCATTTAACAATATATAAAATGTTGTGGGGTGTGTAAGTATGCGTTTTATCAGTATTTACCTTGAGGTTTTTTTTTCCACAGTTATGATGGTTAATGGCGATCACAGAATAGGAATTTTTGCTAAAAGAGCCATTCAGACTGGAGAAGAACTTTTCTTTGACTACAGGTTGGTGGATGTTTCCTCTAACTTATTTTTATGACATGCTCAATTAGTTACCTGTATTTCTAAGCAGATCCAAACGAGTTCCTGTACCTGCTTCCTGCTAACTTCAGGTCTCAGCACCTGAGAGCAGTGAGAGGCAGTCCTGGCTATTTTATTTCTTTTTAATTGGGCAAACATTTGGCCAAGAGCCTTGTGAACTTGGAAAGGTGGCTTGTATCAATAAGAGAAATGTGACTTAAGAAGGGAGAAGGACTTGCACAGTGTTTCTGTGCAGATAAGCATAAAACTTTCTCTGGCACTCTGGTACTTCCTTAGATAAGCAGTACAGGTTGTTTCCACTATTATTAAAAAATGGGTAAGGAGAGCTTGCTTCATTACAGAGAAGTGCTTGCTAAGATAACCGTGCTAGAGGAGAACTTACCTGTCTAGTGAAAACAGTGCTGCCTAAGTCAATTTTGAGAAATGCAATTGGTTGAACTTCAGCACTGATTACTATAAGGAAAGCGTGAAGCTTTATGGACCACTTACTTCCTTTTGGCTCAAGCTCCTCTAATAGCATTTCTTGAATGTTCAGTATTGTTCTGCACTTGCAAATTTACACAGGAAGTAAATTTCAGTGGTGAGGAAACTAGGGGAAAGCAGAGAGCATTCCAGACTGTGCTGTGTTATGTCAGAACAATGAAGCTGAAATGCTCCAGTAATACCAGTTCTTATTCTTGTTATTGTTTTTATTTCAGATACAGCCAAGCTGATGCCCTTAAGTATGTGGGTATAGAAAGAGAAATGGAAATCCCTTGACACCAGCTACCTCTTCTTATAAGCATACAGCTGCCTTATCTTCAGGAAAATCTAGTACTGTGGGCAATTTAAAAAAAAAAAAAAAAAAAAGCTATTTGAAATTCTGTGTTTGCAAAGTACTGTAACAGTAATTTATAGCAACCAATTTTAAAAAAAAACTTTTTATTGCCTTCTCACCAGCTGCAGTGTTTTGTACCTATGACCTTTTGCAATAATGTGGTGTGGTGCATTTTTCAATCTTGAATAAATGATACTTGAACTTCTTCATTTTTATGGGAATGGAGTTGAAATTCTGATTTACCTGGTTCACAAAACTTAATTTCTAAATAAAGGCAGTACATACTTGCCTAGTTCTCTGTTCAACTGTAATTGTTATTCTTCTACTTCTACTCTGCCCTATCAGTCCTAATGTGGAGTCAGTTGATAGCAGACGGATTTAAAAATGGAGGGAGTGTACTCCAAAAAAGAAGTGGAAGGGAGGCTGGAAGTAGGTAGCTGTAATGGTAGATGACGCTAACAGGTGTTAATGCCAAGTTTAAGGTGAGTAACAGTCTTACAAGCTTTCCTTCCACCTGTGCACCAGCTTAACACTAGTGCAGCTTCCCACGTGGTGCCATGATTTTCTCTACTCGGTTGACTGTAGAAATAACACAGACAAGATTCCACTTGTACCACTTGGTAAAGGAACAGGTAGCGGCGGCTCCAGTAACTGCCACCCTGCATGGGGCATCTCTCCAGCTGCAAACAGAATAACATGACTAATTGTATACCTCACTTGAATCAAACTGGGCTGAGGCCATTTATGTTGTATCCTTTGTACTGCTTAGCTGTAAGCAACAACTGCTTTGCTTTTAGTGGTACAGATTCCTCCCTTCTATTACGAAATTTCAATCTAACCTTGTTTAGAATGAGGCGACTGCACTGCTAGAGCTCTGTCCCCTTCTTTCCTGTAGCTGCCATTTAGATATTGAAAGGCTGCTATCAGGTCACCTTGCAGCCTTCTTTTCTCCAGGCTCAAGAGCCTCAGCTCTGTCAGCCTGTCCTTGCAGGAGAGGTGTTCCATTCCTGGACTCATTTCTGTGCCCGTTCTCTATACGCATGGCCACAGCTCCGTATCTCTCCTGTTCTGAGGCCTCCACACCTGGATGCAGTACTCCAGCTGAGGCTCACCAGCGCGGAGAAGAGGGGCAGGATCACCTCCTCCTTCTGATACAGCCCAGGGTAGGGTTGGTTTTTGGCCTGAGAGGGCGCGCTGTTGGCTCCTGTCCAGCCTCCCATCCATCATTATCTCCAGGTCCTTTTCAGCAGGGCTGTGCTCAACCCTTTCATCCCTCATTGGTAGTGAGGCTCACCTCGACCCAGGTGCAAGACCTTGCATTTGGATTTACTGAACCTCCTGTGGTTCACCTGGGCCCACAGCTCAAGTTTGTCTCCGTCCCTCTGGGCGGGATCCTGTCCTGCTGTGCTGACCCCACTGTCAGAGTCATTGATGACTGTGGAGTATCAGCACCTGCACTGACCCCTGGGAGACACCACTTGTCATTGACCTTCATCAACACCGAGCCCCTCTCTGGCACTCCCCCAACTTGTTGAGGAGTGTTAAGTTGTGAGGGGGTGGCTTTTCTTTCTCCGGTTGTTTGTGACAAAGTGACCCAGCAAGCCAACTTACCTCCTTTTACCGAAGTCCGGTTAACTTCTGCCTGCTCAGATAAAGATGTCTGTTCCCTGGAGCTGAGTTGGCAGCAATTGTGATTTAATACAGTATATAAACTGTGCAAAGCAGTCCTGCTTTAACCAGTGATGGCTTTGAGAGGCAGCTTGCAGCGCTGCAGTTCTGGGCTTCCACAGGTGATTGTCATTTTGCATGCCTCTCTAGCACCATGCTCTCCTACTTTCTTCTGCAAAGCACATCTTAAAATCTTCAAAAGGCATTTCAAAAAATGAACAGCAAAGTGTTTCTATTAACCACGCCGGCAGTCTTGGTACAATTAAAGTTATTCCAGTACAGGAACAGCAAGCTTGCAGAAGCTCAAGTGCAACAAGGTATTCTCTCAATTTTTGATGTTAGGATCTAATACTCCCCAGTTCAAGCTGGAACTTTGTGAAAAATCAAACATTTCTGTAGATCAAACCCCAACTGTAACCATAAAAAATAGCTTCTCTCTCAGAAGGATGGAAAGCCACCATGTCCAACGGTGAAAAAATGGTTTGGATGCAGAAGTCCTTTCACCCTCAAGGACAAAAAAGAGAACTGGAAGGGTAGCTTTTTGTTACATGTAGAAACAAGTATTTATCTCACTTGCATATGTTGAGCACACAACATTGTGATAAGACGGAGTAAAACTTGGTCAATCATGTATATGTATGTATAGCAACACATTTTATTCTCGTCACAAGTAGTATTTATTAGGAGTTAGTCTTTAGGAGCACACAGTTTTCTGTTCAATGAATTGGGCAGCCTTAACCTTATTCAAGGCAGTAGTTAGGGGATCACAGAATCATAAAGGCTGGAAAGGATTCCCAATATCATCCAGTTCAACTGTCCCCCCATGCCAATACTGCCCACTAAAGCACATCCCTACTTAGCACAGCTGCACCTCCTTCACACAGCTGCAGGGACAGCAGCTCAGCTGCCTCACTGGCAGCCTGTTCCAGTGCCTGACCACTCCTTTAGAGAAGGTTTCCTAATATCCACCCTGACCCTCAGCCCTTCTCTAGTGCTATCACTGGTTACACGAGGCCAACCCCCCCACCACACACAGCTGTCAGCTGCAGAGAGCAACAGTTCTGAAGAAAACGGCTCCCCTCACCACTCGCGTTTCTGTGCCTTCACCGACGTCATCGCCCTCCTTGTACCGAGGGCCCCAAAGCGGACCCATGCTGGGAGCTGAGTACAGCACGACGCCCACCGCCCTGCCCCTGCCAGCTCCACCATTTCTGATAGAAGTCAGGGTGCTGCTGGCCTTCTCAGCCCTCTGGGCACAACACTTACTTGACTCAGCCCAGCACTGACCACCTGCCCCAGATCGGCTTCCTTACTTTCCAGCCACTCTGCCCCTAGGCGAAGCCTGCAGGCACTGCTGGGGCTGCTGGGACTGAAGTGCAGGATGCAGCACGCCTGCCTGGTGAACTTCACCCCCTTGGCCTCAGCTCATCAGTCCAGAGCCCCTGCAGGGTTTTCCTACCCAAGGCAGAGGACCGCTTCACCCCACCTTGCTCTCACAGAGGTGTATGAGTGCCCTCATCCTGACCCCCACCAGAGATACTAAATGGGACCCAACGCCTGAGGGACGCCGCTCGTGGAAGCAACTCCATTCACCACAACGCTTTGTTCCCAGCCCTCCAGCCCCCTCTTGGTCCTGCAGCACATCTCCGCGTCCGTGCCCCGGGCTGCCAGCTTGTCCACAGGACTGTGGGAAGAGTGATATGATGTAGTAAGGAAGGTCAAACTTCAGATGACCGGGGCTGTCTGCAGATATTTCACCTAGCTCCTGTTCTGCTCTCTTGTGGAAGGAGCACAATTTTCTTCTTCAAAACACGTTTCCTCTTAAAAAGAAACTACACGTTTGATTACAGATAAAAGTTAATTCCTTCAGAAAGCAGCACACTTCAAATCACCAGGAAAGGAGGAAAAGCAAAACAAATTTCTGTAGCTTTCATAACCATTATTATACCTTTTATTTACATTTAGAAATCATGAAACTTAATAAAACCAAATGCAACTTGTACAGAAATCTTTTAACTTTTTTTTATTTATCACACATTAAAAAATGAAACACACTATACAAATGGTTTTTCCATAGCAGATTACACATGGGTCCATTCAGACTTGCTCTCAAAGTGCTGCCAACATTTGTAAGTGCTGCCAGTGATGGCAGCTGTTTATCATATAGCCAATGTATTGATTTAAATGCAGTAGCATGCAACCCTTAAATGAAAAGGGTCTGATTCCTCTCTGTTCTTAAATTAGGTTAAATGGCATTGGTGTCCATATTTACATACTTGAAATGTATCAATCCTGAGCAGTTCTGATGTAAATCTGAGACTGGCTGATGGGGAGTCCTGGTCTCAGGTATTAAAAAGGGAGGTCCAAATGGCAGCAGGTGGCTGCTATGAAGTTCTGTTGCTTTCATTCTTTCCATCACATACCTATCTGCCGAGTGCCACACAGTCAGAAAACGCTAATAAAAACATTAAGCCAAGTAACTGTAGGTGTCCTTCTCACCATCGACGCGTTCCAAGTACTCCTTCTCAATCAAGATATCAATGCATTTCTATGGGGAGAAACAAAGGTAAGTGGAGAGACACTGGCAGAACGCTTCTGGTTGCTACAAGCTTTGAACAATGCTGGCACTGAAACGCATGCCAGAGGATGGCAGCGGGCTACAGGCACAAAGAAAGTCACTCTCCTGCTTCTGACCACAGCCGAAAAGGGGACTCTCCACTACACTGCATTATGCCATTCCATGGCACTGACTTGGAGATTCACTATTCTATCACTGCTGACCAACTTGGTAGTACGACTGCACCTGTTTAACTTTTTATTTGCTGAGCATTCACTAAGGATTGCTGTTGTAGTAACTAGTTGCCTAGAATAACTTGTCTGCATGCATCTCTTTCAGCATCAGTGCCTGGTTTGGTAATGGCTCTCCACTCTCTGTTCCTTGCTCCACCTGTCCCTCTGAGATGGAAAAAAGCATCCTTGACAATGCTAAACCAAACAATCATGAAGCCATAATTAAACCATAACCCCCCCCAACATTTTTATTCTTGAGATTAGGAAACTAATATATTAACCAGGCCTGCAAAGAGGTGGAACTTGCACAACTGTGAGCGCAAGTGAGTAAGCATGGAGTAGAGGCTACTGCATGCTGGCGCTGATTCAAAACTACAACAGTTTGAGGAATCGTAAGAAATCTGCATTTTTCTGCTAAAAATATTTACTGCTTAGTTGCAACTTTGAAATCTGTTTCTACTCATTTCATCTTTTTAGAATTATACAACTTCCCATGTTGGAAGAGACCCTTAAGGACCATCATGTCAACTCCAGGCTCCACACAGGACAACCCCAGAAAATCAGACCATGTGTCTGAGAGCACTGCCCAGACAATTATTGCACTCTGGGAAGCTCAGTGCTGTGACCACTTCCCTGGTGAGGCTGTTCCAGTGCCCAACCACCCCTTTGGTGAAGAAACTTCACCTGATACCCAACCTGAATTCCCCACCACAGCTTCATGCTGTTCCCCTCAGGTTCTATTGCTGGTCACCAGAGAAATCACTGCCTTTTCTGCTGCTGCCCCTTTATGAGGAAGCTGCAGGTCATGATGAGGTCTCCCCACAGTCTC